GGGCCCTGATGCTCCATCAGAGGAGCCCTGCGCTGGCCTGAGCCCCGGCTGTGCTCTCCCCGCTGGACCTCAGCGCTTACTCGCCTCCCCGAGCTCCTGCCGTAAAAAAGCGCTTGGCTGGCTCCTGCCTCTCACTCGCAGAGACTCGAGAAGCGGGCAGAAGCCGCGGGGTGGCTGCGAGAGGTGCCCGTGCCCCAGCCACCCGCGCGGAGCCGCTCCACAAACAGGAGGAAAAAAAAAAAATCTCCTCTTTTGTAGTTTTCTTTTACCAGCAGATAAAAGAAAAATAGCTTGCCTTTTTTTTTTTCCTGTGGTTTCTGTGATTTTTTTTTTTTGCCTCTGCTCAACTGTGTATTTTTCAGCTCAGTAAAGTATTTATTAGGAACCTTTATGGACCAGTCTGCTGGTGAATTATATATATTGTACAGCTTCAGCATGAGCTGGGAAAAAAATTTATGACTTTTTTTCCACCCAGACTGACTCTATCCAATAGTAACAAGAAAATGAGGGTTTACCAGGAGAGCTTTAAGTTCAGTTCTGCTTGCCAGAGCAGCAGATACCTTTTCTGTCTTGGTTCCTGTGCATTTATATAATGTAATTTTCCCCTCTAATTTGAAAGCAAAGCTAAGGCTGAGCACTAGTGGGCTTTTGTGTCCTGCTAGTAAAGTCTGTCAAATAGCTATGGCTTGTCTTTTTTTTTTTTAAATTGGATTTCTCACTTTAGCATCGATTGTTTTTTTCAGATTATTCTTAATTCAATGCATAAATACCAACCACGACTGCATATTGTGAAGGCGGACGAGAACAATGCTTTTGGGTCAAAGAACACAGCCTTCTGCACCCACGTTTTTCCGGAGACGTCCTTTATATCGGTGACCTCCTACCAGAATCACAAGGTAGGCTGCTTTTCTGGCTAAAGGTGCTTAATTTCTGTTTGCGGGCTTTTGCAACTCGCAGCCCTCTGCTGCCGACGGCTGCGAAACGAGCTTCCGAATCGCAGCGGCACAGCGATGTCGCTGCGGTGCTGTGCTGTGACGAGCAGGATCTCTTTGCTCGGAGGGAGGGGGAGAGACTGTTATGCTGCTATTGTGCAGCAGAAAATGCCTGCTTTAAAAGACAAGTTTCCATCCCAGCCCTGCAAGCCTTAAACAAGAGTGACGAGCCAGAGGATGCAGCTAAGGAGCAGCACGAACATCGTTGGGTAACAATATCCTGGCAAACCCTGCGAGTCCAGACACTAATGAATCGGCGTGCTCATAAACACTAAGATGTCATTCAAAACAGCAAGCAAATCTAATAATGACTAGTAAAGCTTGCTCATAAATCTACAGTGAAAAGTAATTCTAGTATGTGTATTTAGTGAGACATACGCGGAATGTAACCATAAAAACGCAGCTAAGAGCCTGCTCTGTGGTTAGCACATGAAGGCGGGAGGGGGTTTGGGGGTTTGGGTTTGTTTTGGGGGGAATATAAAGTACAAAGGGCTTGGTTCTGGGCTTTGGGTGTGTGTCACAGATACCCACGTATTGTAGGATTTGGCTTCTCTTCTTTTTTGAGCGTGTTGGTAGTGGCGGGGGTGGGTAGCCTTCCGTCTGAGGATTTTACCAACCCAGGTTACTAGCAGGATGGACAGCAATTTGAGAGTTAATTGTCACCTCCCCGTGACAGCGGGTGTGCTGTCACCAGGGCAGGGAGAGGAGAGGATGCCAGGCAGGGGATGGCAAGGCTCTGTTTTCAATCCTGCTGCCGATTTGCCTGCCTTTGCTCCCCTGCAGTTTTCCTAACGGTGAAATCCGACTGCAGGGTTGTTTGAGGATTACTTGGAGTTTTTAAAGTGCATCAGGATTCATAAATAAAGATGCAGAGTGAAGTAGCACCGCCGGAGCCCTTGTGTCACCCCGAATGTGAAATCTGCCGTGTGTTACTGTATCAGCTCCTTTTCTACACATTCACAGGAAAATACTTACAGGAACATATGTGAAATTCTTCCTCCCCAATAATCTGACCAGACCTTTTCCTCCCAAGCAGGATGCCTGTATGCCCTTTGATGCTTGAAGCATAGAGTCCTCACAAGATTTTGCAATTAGTGAGCCAGTTAAAAGACTCAGAGCAGAAACGTGGATGTGTGTGCTACGGAAAGATGGGGGGGGAAAAAAAGAAGTCCCTATTTGGACACTGAAGTGAATCCTGTTTGAAAAGCTGTAGCTGTTGGTGTAAAATGACCAGTTGCCCAAACATGGTTAACCAAAAAGGCTCAAAAGAGCTTATTTAATAGCTACTTAAAATGTCTCACGTGTCAATAGTGCCTTTCATCCCTAAGGTTCCCAAAGTGCTTCATAAACTTAATACTTCCACTGCCATTGCCGTACAACCGCTGCTGGGGGGAGGCTGGTAGCTGGGTGGCAGCACAGAGTGGACCTGACAGATTTAGGGAAAACGCCCCATACGAGCCCTAATTTTTTCGTGAAGACCCTGCGAGGAGCCGCCCCGGTGCTGCCCAGCTCTTGCTCTGTGATCTGCAGGCTTTGGGGGGTTGGATGCCGCCCGGCGGGGGGGGCATGGTGGTCTGCAGCAGAGGAGCAGGAGGCAGAAGGTCTCGCCACGACCTCACTGTGGTCTCGAGAAAATCACAACCTCAGAGAAATAACCAAATGGTTTTACCTATTCTCTTAGGCATTAACAATTAAAAACCTGGTCTGGGTATCTTTTAGAAAAAACAAACCACTGAACTATTTTTAGCTCAGTAATATCCTGCTAGCAAGACGTGTCCTTGCGAATAATCGTCTTTCTAAACAAAAAAAATGAGAGTCTTGGTTACAGAGCTGACTGTGGGCTCCCAGAGCTGGAAAGCTGATGATAGAGGCTACCTGTGAGTACAGATCCGTGAGGAAGGTGTAGGTGTTTACCCAAAACTCCCTCATGGGTTGGATGAAGCCAGGGGAAGGTGACAAGGAGGGACTGAAGCCCTGATTCTGCTCATGTCAGAGGAAAACCACGGTCACTAAATAACAAAATTAAATTAAGATGTACAAACCTGATGCCGGGCTGCGGGTTAGGAAGGGCCCTGCGCTTCTTGTGGTTCCTCAGCTGATTGGGAGCTACCCTGGAGCCACTGTGGGCTGCGGGAGCAGAGAGGAAAAGCTTGAGCCCTCGAGGCTGGTTAAATTCACATCACCACCTTCCTTCTCCATCACAGACACTGGCCAGCTGTTTTCTCAGGAGTTTTTTGGTAAGGGATATTTTTCAACATTGCTAAAAGTGTCGTTGTTAGTTATAGCAACACTCTTGCAAAATCATCCCAACGCAGAACTTGCTTGTTATCCTCGCCACTAAAATCGGATGCAGGCTGGTGCAAGCCCGCGGCTGGCTAGCAGGGAGAAGGGACCCGAGGGCAGTGGGTCTGCAGGGAGATGCGTGTCCTCACCTCCCCACCGGCGTCCTGCCACGCTGTCACCTCTCCTCCTCCCGGAGAAGGTCTTTTCAGTGACAATCGGATGCCCAAGGAGATGATCCTACCCACTGATGTCCGTTAGTAGGGAAGGACATTAATAAGACCTGTTTCTGACCAGTTCTGTCCGTGATATGTGTCAGACCTGTCTATAACCTTACTGTCAAAGAGCCTTGGGCGAATGTTTGTGTGCGTACACACAGACATCTCTTTGGGAGGCGGACAAGGGATATTTTTAGGAGCTCCTGTGTCCCTACAAATGTTCTGGTGCTGTTCTGGCATTTTCCAGCTCCTGAAACCCTCTCAGGTGATCTTGTTCGCTACCTGTTTGTCTTCACAAAATCCTTTGCTAAAGAGGTGGTTTATTTTCCTTTTTCACTGGCC